CCAGTTGCCATCCATGGCTATAGAACATAGTCTGTACTGCTAGATCTGGAGGGAGAACAAGAGGAATAATTAATTGAAATAATATTACGTGCTAATACTCTTGGGTATTAGCATGTATATGAATGTAATGGATTCCACTGAATTGGAACTCGGCTCTCCGCCTTGCTTTATGTATATATATATATATATATATATATATATATATATATATACACACACACACACATGCACACACACACACACACACACACACATATATGGAATTGAACTCGCTCTCCGCCTTGCTTTATATATATATATATATATATATATATATATATACACACACATGCATGCACACACACACACATATATATATATATATATATACATATAAGACACACACACACATATATATTCATCGCACTATATATATATATATATATATATATATATATATATATATATATATAATTATTTATTTAAAAATATGATTCCAAATCGCGACATAAGAAGTCCCATGTTTCAAAACAAGAGCCGAAAACGTCAATATAATTATTTAAATTAAATTGAGTTAAAATAAGCTCTGTTCCATCTTCAAGCGAAATGTTTTTTGGAATCTATTTACCTAACCAGTTCCTTCCTATTTTCTATATATTTTCATATATATATATATATATATATATATATATATATATATATATATAGTGCGATGGATAAATTGTCGTCTAAATTAGGCTAAAATTAGAATAAAATCGACATTTTCAACCACGGCCGCCAGATGACATCTCTTCAGGACGGTCTATTTGTTTAGGTTACTGGATACTGCAATAAACCCTTTTTTTTTTTTTTATCTTTGGTGTTACATAGAATTTTGCAGGGCTCTCGTTCAACTGCGCCACACCCATAATAATCAAGGGGGTTGCAGTCTGGGGGGAGGTTAGGTGGCCAGATGTAAAGGGTGATGTGGTGGCAGAAATTGTCTAACAACCATAACTGGGTTCCTCTGCTTATGTGGCCTGGTGCAGAGTCCTGTTGCCAGATCTAATCACCAATAGACTTCTTCAACTATTTCTGAATCCTCTGCACGGTTCTCTGATTGACACTCAAACTCTTTGAAATGTTTGTATTGGCGCTTCCGGCGCGAATGCCAAGACAGCACAGCATCTCGTTTTCAAATTTCTGGCGGAGTCAATTACATCATGGTGTTTTTTTTCTCACAAACGGTGCCCAACTGACCTTACTATAATAATCTAAAATGGCGGCAATTTATGCATTGCACACCATCATGTGTGTATATATATATATATATATATATATATATATATATATATATATATAAAATGAATAAACCGTCTCTTCACAGGAAATTTGAAAGGCAAAGGAAAAAAGTAAGTCCAGGTAAAAACTCCTTTCCCATGGACGAAATGATCATCTGTATGAGGTAAATCGTTTGGATCGCATTAATTGTAATTCACTAAATGCTCTATAATAAAAATTATATTGAGATCTCTTTTGTGGATCCGTTTTAATATTTTATATTAATAGGATCTATTTGGATTACTTATCCACGGATTTTTTTTTATATATATATATATATATATATATATATATATATATATATATATATATGAATCATTCATACTAATTCCATATATACGGATAACATCTATTCTTTCTTTGTCCTGTTATTACCGGGAAGTAAAAAACAAATTTATTTCCATACCTGATGATGTCTGTATGAACAGATGAAAGCTTGTAAAAAAATAAAGAAATACCTTATGCAACTGGTATTTATAAACAAGGATCATAACATTCATCTACAGGTTCGGGGTTAATGTACTTTATTAAATTTGTTTGCAAAGATGTATTCTCGCCATTTATATCATTAACTTCTACATCTGTTTTTTTTGTATGAATGATTCACGTAATGTAAATTGAACTGAACCACATACTTGATATATATATATATATATATATATATTCCAATAAGCAGTTTGGCAGTTTATTCAACATAGCTGGTCGAGAATGTAAGGTCCAGGGGCAACGTAATCCCTTACATGCAAACTGGCTGACAGTAACTAACGATGTATTGGATTGAAATAAAATATAATATTCAGTAATGAAAGATTCAAGTTTCGTGCTATTCAGTTCGTGCATATCTTATTTGTCGGTGTTATATAGGAATAAAGTGTCGCTGCCGACACTTGATTTTGAACATAGATCGCCAGTGAGCAAACACGGGCGATCCCATTATTGAATTAATTGGATCACGTGACCATGGAAGAAACGCCTAAGTAGAAAGTAGCGTGGCGTCTAAACGATCTCCATTTCTAGTCTATCCTTTCTTACTATAGGCTTCAGCATTTCTATACTATCCTCTATCTTTATACCATTCACTATACTATTCCCTATACGGATCACTATACGGGTTACTTTCCAAGCGAGTATTTTCGAATAAGTACTATTAGTGAGATTGCTATTCGTAGGGGTCTAACACCAGCATTGTTCAACGGCGTTAGTCTCTACTACAACGAACATTACGAAAGTGACAACGCGTATTCGTTGACATCGACGAGTGGCAACGAGTGTTCGTTGACATCACAAAAGTCGGCATACCCATTTTATTACATTAGTGTGGAATACTTTGAGTGATAACCCTTAATAAAGATCCGTAGTTTATTCTTGACAGCAATCCCATTAAAGTAACCTGTCACACTGGGATGGTACGATCTTAAATGAATAATTCTCGTGGCCAATTAAACTCACATAATCAATAAATACGTGATAAAAATACGAGATGCGTGTTATGGCCAGCAGTTGTTCCCATGATGGACAATCGAGGTGAGACGATCGTTACACACTAACTGCTGACAAGAGGGGAATGGAACAAAGAGGATAACAGGTTTGGTCATTTATTGCTATTTGTAAAATAAACCATTCGTTAGAGTTTAGCGGAAACATATGGCAGCAATTTGTGGAAAAAAAACACAATTGAAATCATAGAACCAGAGACTTGATGACTTGACGAAAAACTTGAACTATAGATACTACTAACCAGAAGAAAACACAAAGCGAAGAACGAAAGCTATTAAGAGAAACCCCTGTACACCACATGCCTCGTAAACAACTAGACAGTAGAGGGCGGAAAGTAGGTGTTAAGCTTGCATTCAAGAGCATCATAAGATGTAGGTATAGATATCTTAACAGAAGAAGAAGAAGAGGGAGGAGGTGGAGAGAAGGCAAATGTGCAAATTTAAGCAGGAAAAGAAGAAACTTCTTCCATTTCTTAGAAACTAGACATAAAGACACGCGAAATCAGCAACCGAAAAAAAAAGTTATTAAAATCTTACAGCCCATAGAAACATAAATGCTGAATGATCTGCTCTTTTATTTAGAGTGAAGTTCACCCTGTACAAGTCTCAAGAGCCACTCGAGATAGAGGATTACAGTAAGAGACAGTTTCTGCAGATAGGTGAGTAAGATAACGGTTAACCCTAGATTTAAACATTTTTCTTGTGAGGGTCTGTTCCGTAGAGCAGCGGTTCGCGGAAAGAAGCTGTTCGAGTGGAGCTTGCTTCTCAACAATGAAATACGGGGTGGGGGATATGGATGTGGGTGGCATGACGTGTCCTCGCCGTGAAGGTTCTAACTGGCACAACCAAGGAATGCAGTTCGTCTGAGCACTTTCCAGGGAAGTAGCAACAGAGCAGTGAGAGGCTTTCCAGGTCCCGCCTATAAGAGAAAGGTTAGAAGATTGACGCTAGATAAATTTCGAAGTAAGAAGAAAATGGCGACCGACAAAAATAACAAACCAGCCTGGGAAAATAGGTTCTAAAGTATAGAAAAAGGCAAGGTTATCAAAAGACCAATCAAACAAAAATAAATTATACGTAGGTCAGGCTACGGGAAACAGAGAATATAAGATAAAAGTGAATATCTGAACCAGTAGAGGAAATTAAGCAAAGAAACAATACAAAAACAGAAACAAAATGAAAAAAAAAAAAAAAAATGAAAAAGTAAAGCATCACATTTACTGACTCAGCGTCTTTAAACGTACCTGAGGATGGGAGAAATATTTGAATAGATAACTAGGTACTTACTCTGTCTCCCCACGAAGAAGAGTTGTGACACAAGGTCTTTTTTAAGGTGGGAACCCGGGCCAGGAACAAAAATTCCCCACAGCCCCCGCCGGTTGCGCTGTCCTCGGTGCGGGCACTGATCCCTCTCTCTGATGCAATGAGAGGGCGCGGCCTTGGGCAGCTGTTCCCCAGGGCTGAGCACCTCTCAGTATAATTTTCCTCAGTTGCGACTTTGTCAAAGGACAGAGTCGCCCCTGAGTGCACTCTGCCCAAAGACAGAGACGCAGCTGAGGGATGATAAATAGATGTGTTAAAAAATTCCTCGAGAGGAATTTACGCACTTCGCACATTCATATATTTTTGAATAGATGACTAAATGCAGAATCAAGTTCATCCCAAAAGACAATGAGATAAAACGCAGGTAAGTAACTCCACATCGATCTCGTACGAACCCTTAAATGTAGGACCCATCAACGAGACGAATGGTAAAAGAAACCTACCACTCTATTACTGGCAGAAAAACGTCAGTGTAAGAGTCGTGCTGATAATAGGAGGCGTACCTGGAAGCGTGCTCAGAGATGAAGAACTGAAAATTCGAGAGATGTATGAGACAGTCCAGATTACTGTCGTGCTAACTTGTGCAGAGAGACTAAAGAAAGTGATGAACTTTATATGGTGAAAAGATGCTCATTAGCCTACCAAATCACTTTTTTACTTAATTGTTTTTACGGTTTTTCAACCTTTTGCAGGTTAAAACAAGAAAGATGCTTTTTGAAATAATAATGATTTACTGATAAAAGTCCTACTAATTAACCCATAGCTGGGGGACGAAGAAGAGATGGATCCTTGTCTTTCGCATTTTCACATAAGTGAATATAATGAATCCAGTCCAATTCCCAATTCCGAGCTGTCATCCATTACAATACTCGCTCATGAAAGCTTACAGTGCCTGGTATTTCCATGCGATTACCTATCCAAGTAATAACCAGGCTCGATGCTGCTTAACTTCGGATATTGTACGAAAACCAGTGTTTTCAACGTGATATAACCATAAGCCTCACCAAATCAGAGAATTACTATGCCTAATATATATATGTTAATACACATACACACACACACACACACACACACACACACACACACACACACACACACACACACACACACACACACACACATATATATATATATATATATATATATATATATAAAAATATCATATTAAAAAAAAACAAAACGAAGGTGAAAATGCAATTGGAGTCTTTAAAATATTAGTTTACAGTAACTTTACCGGTTTCATGGTTCTATGATTTCAATGGTTAAATTGAAATGGAGATATGTGTGCCTATCTTGTGATATCACTCACTCACATCTCTTCTGATATATATATATATATATATATATATATATATATATATATATATATATATATATATATATATATAGAGTGAGAGGGAGGAGAGATAGAGAGTGATATACATATATTATTGAAATACAAGCCTCCACTGTGAAAACTACTCTACAACATTTTGGATCTCATCCTCGTCGCCAAAATGTAGTTTTCACAGTGGAGGCTTGTATTTCAATAAGTCGTCCTAAATTAGTTTCGACGTACAAAACGTTAGGAACTTGGAAATAAGAGTTAATGACACACGAATCTAGTTGTGATGGTTGGTACTTCAAATGTCCGATATCGACTGACTCGCTCAACACCACTGAGCCGAACTGGCGATCGCTACTACTACTTATTATCTGTGGGAGAGTCCATTACAATAGAATAGGTATTATGGTATGACAAATATAGACCGGAATCCGACAGGATGATAAAATAATGAACACATAGGAAACATACATCAAGTCTAACATGTTTCATTTTTATTAAAACTTTGTCACAGATTAAAAGAAAACAGACAAAAAGACAACCTACGAAGCTTTAAAAAAGTTTTTTGTTCTTTTATTTTATCATATATATGTGTGTGTGTGTGTGTGTGTGTGTGTGTGTGTGTGTGTATGTGTGATGTGTATTTCGGCAGCAAGAGTCCATACAAACAAGTTGTTAGCAAGTTTTATTAAATCAAACTGACAAGGTCTAATCAATATTTTATTCTATTTTTACCATTTTTGAATGAGATGTCTATCGGGGTTAAAATTATGGATAAACTGTTAAAATATAATGTTTTTTCTTGTTTTGTTCAAGTAAATGAACTTTCGAGGGTTTATTCATTTCACTTCCTATATAGAACAACTCTTTAATGCCCACCATACCAGGGGGGGGCTTAAATACTCTGTCACAGTGCTCGCTGGCATCCAGACGCTGAACTTTTCAATCGCTCAATCTCTCCCGCAAATAGTGGACTTCATCACGCGTTTCCCCGGTAACCGTGACGGACACGCTTCTATTCTAGATCTCTTTTTTTTCTTATCTCTATCTTTGACTCATGCAGTACTATTGTTATAGTGGAACACACCTATTCTATTAATAATAGACTCTCCCACCTATAATAAGTAGGAGTAGTAGGAAGTCGCTCAGTGAGTTGGTCAGTCAGTCGACTGGCTGATCGGTTGAACACTCTGCCTTCAGGCGGGGAGGAATCCAAAAAGAAGAGCGGATTACGGGGAGGTAAGTTTATACGGGTTAATGGGCATATTTTTGGCCGAGCCAACGGGCTTTGGGAGAGTTAAAAAGGCTGACCCATGAACCCGTTTAGTGACTGGGTCAGTCAGATAACTGGCTGATATTTTTTCAGGCCAAAAGAGGACGCCGAAGAGCGGATTCACTTTGGGAGTAAATCCCTTGAACGTTATTCGAAAAGGCCGAGCCCACGGGCTCGGAGACCACGTTAAATGACATGATGCCCTCGTGGGAGAGGGGGGTGACTAAATATCGTTTGTCAGTCAGATGACTGGCTGATCGGTTGAAATCTCTGCCTTCGAGCGGGGAGGAACCCGAAAGAGGCTACGCCTAAAGAGGCTACGCCGAAGGGCGGATTTTCTTTCGGGGAGGTAAACCTACCCTGAACCCGTTTATATGGGTTCAATGGGCATATTTTTGGCCGAGCCCACGGGCTCGGAGATCCCACGGGCTCGGAGATCCCACGTTAAACCGGCCTTGTGCCACATGATGCCCTCGTGGTGGGGGGTGACTAAATATCGTTGGTCAGTCAGTCGATGTCGGACGACCGTTAGTCGGATACTAAAAGTATCAGCGACCACCACTAGATTTCTCTGCGTCATACCTATTATATCAAGTTCCTAACGTTTTCTACGTCGAATCTATTTTAGGACCGTCTTAGTACAAATACAAGCCTCCACTGTGAAACTACTCTACAACAATTATGCAGCTCTTCTCCCTTGGTAATTCTAATCATGCGGTAGTGTCTGTATGCATCTCTTTCCGCTCCTCCCTCCAGCAAATAACTCCCTATCAACAGAATTTCTTTCTGTTACCAACGAGCGGATTGGGAAATGTTCAGTGATTTCCTTCGTGATGTCCATTGAAATTAATTTTTTAATTCTTCTGTTCAAAAATGAGCGTCAGCGGTCTCCTCCTGCGTGAAATCCGCCATCGATGATTTAATTCCAGCAAGGAAATACCAAGTTAAACCGCGTTCATCTCCTTGGTTCTTACCCACATCTGGGTCGCTTTAACCCACAGGGATCACTTTTTTCCGGCTGTACCAGAGTGACACGTCTAAGTCAACCAGTTTTTGCTCGTAACGAATGCAAGCTTGTTCTCAAATAAGCAAGGTTACTGATTGTTGATAGAACTTATAGCATATTACAACTTCGGTTCTAGAGATTATTGGCAGCTCTGCAAGTGTGTGCTCAACAATGGAAAATCCTCAATCCCTCCTTTATATAATCAATTCGAAATCCTGACATCTACAGCAGATAAGGTTGAATGCTTTGCTCGGAAATTCTTTTCCAACTCAACACTCGACTCATTTGGGGTACCCACACCTGATTTTCCCCCTAGAACTGATGCTCTACTGAAAGATATGCGTATAACCCCGTCACTGATCTCGGACATTATTTCTAAATTAAACTCCCATAAGGCAAGCGGAGGTGACGGGATCCCAGTCGTCGTCCTAAAGAAATGTAATCCAGTTCTCTTCAAACTCTAAAACTGTTATAGTGGAACACACCTATTCTATAGTTAATAGACTCTCCCACCTATAATAAATAGGAGTAGTAAGAGTAACGTGGGAGGGATTCAGTGAGTGAGTGAGTTGATGTCGGACGACAGTTAGTCGAATACGAAAGTATCAGCGACCACAACTAGATTACTCTGTGTTATACTTATTATATCAAGTTCCTAACGTTTTGTACGTCGAACCTATTTTAGGACCGACTTAGTACAAATACAAGCCTCCACTGCGAAATAACTCCACAACAAAAACTATCGTCCCGCAGCTTCCTGCTTTCTAGTTTCTTGAAAGTCCTCTGTAGTTCTTGTTTTTAAGAACTCTGGGGAACCATCTGACCCCTTTTAACTATCGCCCTATTAGTATCCTACCACTTTTTTGCAAATTATTCGAGACTTTAATCAATACTGAAGTGCTTAAGCATCTTACCTCTCACGACCTACTCTCTGAAAAACAATATGGCTCCGTTTTGGCTGGTCTACCGCTGATGTGCTAACGGCCATCACTGAATATGTATATAACGTACTTGACAATAATGGCGAAATACGAGCTGTAGCGCTAGTTATCTCGAAGGCATTTGACAGGGTTTGGCACGATGGTCTTCTGCGTATACTCCAGGGATACTGTATTACGGGACGTTTGATTGATTTACTCCAATCATTCCTATCAAATCGTGAAATGAATGTCATTTTAAACGGGCTCGCTTCCATGTCTTTTCACATGGACGCGGGTGTCTTCCAAGACTTCATCCTGGGTCCTACGCTGTTTCTGATTTTCATCAATGATCTTCCTGATGTCATCAGTTCCAAAGTAGGCAGATGCCATTAACATTTACTCCTGTCTCAATCGCAAATTCGTCAGAGCTGATAAAATTAACCTGGCCGTTACTCTTGAAAAGGATCTCCAATCAGTGATTAACTGATACAGAAAATGACTTGTAACTTTTAATGCCTCCAAAAGGAAACTGCTCTCTTTTAATCCCCATAGAGAAACTTTCCTGTCCGCAATCAGCATGACCGATGCGAGACTCCCGGAGAGCGACACACTGCGCCTTCTTGGCCTCACGTTTTTAACTAATTTGAAGTGGAACGATTACATTGAATCAGTAGCTACATCTACTGCAAGGAGAGTTGGGTTAGAAGGTTTTTATCGTCAGAGTCCATCTTGCACATTTAAAAAACTACCATCCGTCCGGGCATTGAATATTGTTGCCATATCTAGTACTCCTGCCATTCATCTCGAGGATCTTGACAAAATCCACAGAAAGATCTGCAATGTAATCTATCCTGACTTGGCATCTCGACTTCAGTCACTTTCTCACAGACGTGATGTGGCTTCTCTTTGTCTTTTCTACAAATATTTTCATGGCAACTGCTTTGACGACCTTTTATCCTTGGGTTTCCGACTACGGGAATTTAAGCATGCTACTAGATTGGCATCCGTTTTACCGTTGAAATAGTTAAAACGTAACAGCAACTTCTACTCCAGCAGTTTCTTTTCTCGCATTCCCCGAGTGTAGAACTTCTTCCTTTTACTTGCTTCCTTGAAAACTACAGTCTTCAAAAAATTAATGGCCATTTTCTGTCTTCTTGAATTCCGTTCAACTTTCATTCTTTCCTCAATCATCCTTTCTTCAATCATTCTTTCCTCAATCATTTTTCCTCACCCCCATACCCAGTCTTTTCTCTCACTTCCACTCTATGTAACCCCTGCAGACTAGTAACTCTTCGGCCTTGCTTGCGTTGAAATAATTAAAAGAAAAAATGAATAGGTATGTTTTTTACGTCTACCTGCACATTGTTTTCGTATTGAAAACGTAAACAAAGAAATTTCTAAGGAATCAATTGATTTAATTCAATAACTAAGACTCTTTGTGTCTTTTCTACTAATATTTTCATGGTAATTGTT